AGATGATTCAAGCTCTCCTTGGCTACATATTGGGTGTAGGCTGGGTTAGTCTACATCAGACTCTGAGTCAAAAATGAATGAAGTATGTATGGATGGGAGATCAGGGGACATCCCCTGTAAGCAAGTGACCCAGGTCTCCATGCTCTGGATCCAGGGCCTCACACCAAAGCTGGCTCTAGAGGAGAACCAGAGATTCTGGAGGATATGACCCACTATGCAGATGAAATCCAAGGTTCTTCTGTGAGTCACTCCATATTCTCACACTGGGCAGCTTATGAAGACTGAGAGTCCCATGGGAGAGTCTGGCAGAAGAACCCACTTATTCGGTCATCTCCTCTGTAGATGAATAGCTCAGCAAAGTCATGGATGTTCATTACACAGGTACAGCCTGTGCTCCCCTTCATAAGAGAAGGTTGTCTGTGAGGACAGAATGCTGGAGGGGAAATGGAAAAAGTGGAGCAGAAGGAGATATCTGTGATCACTATGCATCTCTGCTTGGGAAACTCAGCTTGAAATTAGTATAAATTATCTCAAAATATGGTTTCTGGCAGGCATTGATTTTAAGACTAATTGAATTGCTGCTATCATGGAAATCACTTCTGTTCATGTTTCTAATTTTCCCCAGAGTGAGATTTTACAACTGTTTTAAGAAGTTAGACAATAACAATGATACTAAAGAAACAGATCTCCAGTATAAAGTTTAATAAACACTACAATAAAGAAATAAAGGAGCTGGGCTGTTGGTGGCAAACGCCTTTAATCCTAGCACTCAGGAGTCAGAGAAAGGTGGATCTCTGTGCGTTTGAGGCCGGCCTAGTCTTCTAAAAGAGTTTCTAGGACAGCCTCCAAACCTACAGAGAGACCCTATCTCGAAAAACAAAAAAACCAACAAAAGAAACAACAAAAAAAATGAAAGAAAAGAAATAAAGAAATATGAGGAAAATCATTTATTCTTACTATATTAGGTTCATGGAAAGTAAAATTAATTACTTGGAGGACTTTTATAATGAAATATATATTACAATCGAGGAGTTAAAATACAGGCATTCAGCCCAGGAAGTGCTTTAAGATAGTTGAAAGACTTTTGCTTTATATTGGACACCTTTATATATCATTAGCCCTGGCGAGTTTAAGAGCCCAGAAGGATGTGACCCGAAAGCCATGTGGCATGAAGTCTGGATGTGTTGTTCTGTGTTGGTGAGCTCAGCAATCAGGAGGCAGAGGCACAATCAATAAGAGAAGCAAGACTTCAAGGCCAGGTGGTAGAGACAGCTAGGCTGTGAAGAGCACTTATCTTCCAGAGAGACAAATTTCCTAGCCCTATGTCAGGCATCTCACAACTGTCTGTCACTCCAGCCCTGGGGATCCACATGCCTTTAATCCCCTCAGGGCTCAGGGGCCCTGTGTAAGCAGAAAGAAAGAGGGTTTGAGCCAAAGAGCAGGGTGAACATCAAGGAAACCTTAAGCACCAAAAGACTGATGAACTTATGAACTCAGAGAGACTGTGGCAGCATGAACAGGGCCTGCATGTGTCTGCACCACAAAGGGTGCTGATGTTGACAGAAGTGGACACAAGCTCCCATCTCTAACCCAGAAACTATCTCCAATTGATAAGGAATTAGATGTAAAATCAGATCTCTCAAATGCAGCCTCCCTGGGAATCAAACAACTCGTAAGGACAGGTTCAAGGACCAGAAGTAGATGGCTAACATAAAATAAACTCATGGCAACTTTGGAGGTTCTTTGCCTCACAATGTTTTGTTAGGCCTTGTATATGCACACGCACTTCCAAAAAAACACACCTCACAGGTCCTTTGCTTATATATTATGGCTACTAGTTTGTGCTTTTAGGGGATTCTTGTATGTGTGTAAAACATGTCCTGAATCTGTATGTATTTCTCGTGCTTTTTGTTTAGTTCCTTTTCCTCTGTTTGTGACTCACTTTTTCCTATTCCAGTTGGATTTTGTTTTGTTTTGTTTTGTTGTTTTTTTAAGACAGGTTTTCTCTGTGTAATATATTTGGCTGTTCCAGAATGCACTTTGTAGACCAACCTGACCTTGAACTCAGAGATTCACCTGCCTCTGCCACCAGAGTGCTGAGATTAAAGGTGGGTGCCACCACACCTAGCTGTTTCTTACTATTCTTTAAGTGCCTCTTTGTTTTCTTAGGAGAGACACAAGGAGTATAGATTGGATGGATGGAAGGTGGGAAGGTCTCAGAGGAGTTGGGGGAGGGTAAGCCGTAAGGAGAACCCACTGGAAGAAAACAACATCTATTTCTTCAAAGGCACACAGCACAACCATGGAAAAGCACCAGGAAGAAGCTTGTGGGAACACATGGGCTCAGAGATTTCTGTCTTCTGCCATTAGCCCAGCTGCCATTACTGTTCCTTGGGGAAATCGAGTATCATTGAGCAGTTTGCCTAGGCTAGACTCGGCTTTGTGACAGACATTCTTCAGTCTTTTGAAGCTTGCACCACAACCCTGGATCAACACTTGTTACTTTTTCTCGGCATGATTAATGTGAGTGATCTTTTGTGTACTGGTGCTCAGAGCAGAGAGAGTGCAGCTGAGGTGGGGTGCACTAGACACTGAAGTCTTCTCTCTCATTCCACCTGGTGGCTCCCTCCTGAGTCATCTTATTGGCTGCTAAGCTCCCTTAAATGTTTTCTTTTAAAAATTGTTTTGCTTCAGGCTGGGCACGTGAGTGGCACACACCTTTAATCCCAGTACTGGGAGGGAGAGACAGGCGGATCTTTGTGAGTTTGAGGCCAGCCTGTTCTACAGAGCAAGTTCCTGAGAGAAACCTTGTGCAAAAAAAACCAAAAAGAAAAAAAAATTGTTTGCTTATTATTTGGTTTCCAAGAGAGGGCCTCTCTGTAGCCCCTGCTGTCCTAGAATTCACTCTGTAAACCCAGAGGTCCTGGACTTATGATCCACCTAACTCTGCTTCCTGAGTGCTGAGATTAGAGGTGTTTCCCAACACCACCCAGCTTAAAAGTTTTTAAGAGAGATCCTCACTCTGTTTGCCTGACTGGTTTGGAATTGGATCCAATTAGATCAGGCTAGTTTTGAACTCACTGAGAACCACCCACCATGTGCAGATTGAACCATCCAATCAAATTGCAGCTTTGGTTGGAAGGCGGGGCTGCAGTAGGGAGGGTGAGCAGGATATAAAGGCTTCAGGAGCGCCAAGCAAGACACTGAGGGAGCTAGAGATGGAGGAACTGCGTGACTCAGCTGGGATAAGGGACCTGACTTAAGTGCTCAGAACTGGTGAGTAATTGTCCTCCATTGGGTCTTGAGGCGTGTAATTTGATCTGGGGACTTTAAGACTTAAGACTGCTGTAATTCCAGCACTCGGGAGGCAGAGGCACGAGGATCTCTGTGAGTTTGAGGCCAGCCTGGTCTCCAGAGCAAGTGCCAGGATAGGCTCCAAAGCTACACAAGAAACCCTGTCTCGACAAGAAAAAGAAAAAAAATTCTTAAGACTGGACTGGACATTCTGATTTCTGTCTCATCAGATGAACACACCGAAGACACTGGGTTTAATTCTAAGTGAAGTTTTACTTTCATCTCGAATGTCTTTTTATGATTGTTTTTTTTTTAATTATGAATCTGTTGGTTGATGACTAGGCTTCTTATTTGGCTAACTCTGTCTTAATTATTAACCCATTTCTATTAATCTATGTGTTTCCACGTGGTCTTATCACAGTATGATAGCTTTTTATCTCAAGTGTGATTGTTGATTGTTTTGAGACAAGAGATTCCTAGTTGTTTAAGCTGTCCTTGAACTGTCCATGTGGTTCTGGGTAGGCTGGAAATCAAGACCCTCAGTCTCAAGGTGCTAAGGTCACTAGCATGTTCTCTTATACTGTGCTCCATTGAAATTAGTGTTTTTATTTGTTCTGTGGAGGAAGGGCTCAACTAGACCTGTAGACCACATATTTTTGACTCCTTGGCAATTGCTCATCCCAAACTTCCTTCATGGGGAGGTGTGTATCATTGTTCACTGCAGTGTAACATATCTGTGCACACAGAACACTCAACAGACACACAAGAAGGATATCACTAATGACAGGAGGTAAAGGGCATGCCCCTCTTTTTTTTTTAAAGATTTTATTCATTTATTATGTATACAATATTCTGCTTCCATGTATATCTGCACACCAGAAGAGGACACCAGATCTCATAATGGATGGTTGTGAGCCACCATGTGGTGGTTGGAAACCGAACTCCGGACCTCTGGAAGAGCAGTCAGTACTCTTAACCTCTGAGCCATCTCTCCAGCCTGACATTTCCCTCTCACTGCAGCAAAGACAAAGATGGGTCTGCTCATCATACACACATCGTTGATGACATGTGTAGACTCGTGTAGCAAACAAGACCCTATTGGACTGCCTTAAGGCCCTAAGTGTATACACAAACGCAGAACAAAGTTGAGGAAATCTGTCTCTGAGGATGTAACCCCAAGTTGGGTCATAGCACTCCAGAGGGGCAGGGTAATGCTCTATAGCCATCTTTTTCTTTTTCTTTTTTTTTTTCTTTTTTTTTGTTTGTTTGTTTTTCGAGACAGGGTTTCTCTGTATTTTTTGGATGCTGTCCTGGCACTCACTCTATAGACCAGGCTGGCCTTGATCTCACAAAGATCCACCTTCCTCTGTCTCAGGAGTGTTGGGATTAAAGGCTTGGGCCACCAGCAGCCTGCTAATAGCCATCTTTTTTATGTTCCCTGTGTGCTGTAGAAAATTACACAGCACATCCGTGGTGGATAAGTCATTGTCATAGAACTTGACCCTGGACATTGCACATCCAAGATGGCTGCTGTCAGGAAAGGGAGATGTCTCTACGGGGTTTGCCTGAGGCAAGGGGTTTATGTTGTCTTTTTCTTTCTGTTTTCTTTTTCTTTTCTTTTTTTTTTGATGTTGTCTTAAAGAAAGATTCTGAGAAGATTGTAACATTCTAGAGGCCATTTTGGAAAGAAGAAAGCTACTCTATCAATGGAGGAGAATAAAGAAAATTCCAGCCCTTCAGTCACATCAGCAAACCTGGACCCTACAAACCCATGTTGGTACTGGGATAAGGAGGACTTGGCCCATACACCCTCACAACTTGAAGGACTTGATTCAACTACTGAGGCCCGGTACCGCCAAGAGGGTGCTCGATTCATCTTTGATGTGGGTAAATGTTTGGGGTTACACTATGATACCCTGGCAACTGGAGTCGTCTATTTTCATCGATTCTATATGTTTCATTCCTTCAAGCAATTCCCACAATATGTAACTGGAGCTTGTTGTCTCTTTCTGGCTGGGAAAGTAGAGGAAACGCCAAAAAAATGTAAAGATATCATCAGAACGGCTCGAAGTTTATTAAACGATGTCCAGTTTGGTGAGTTTGGAGAAGACCCACAGGAAGAAGTCATGGTGCTGGAGAGGATCTTACTGCAGACCATAAAGTTTGATTTACAAGTGGAGCATCCCTACCAGTTCCTACTGAGATATGCAAAGGAGCTCCGAGGAGATGAAAACAAAATTCATAAGATGATTCAGATGGCATGGACATTTATAAATGACAGTCTCTGTACCACCTTGTCACTACAGTGGGAGCCGGAGATCATCGCTGTAGCAGTGATGTATCTTGCGGAACGTTTGCACAAATATAAAATACAAGAGTGGACCTCCAAACCCAGGTACAGCAGATGGTGGGAACAGTTTGTTGAAGATGTCCCTGTTGATGTTCTGGAAGACATCTGCCACCAGATCCTTGATCTTTACTCACCAGAGAAGCAACAGATGCCTCACCCCAGCTCTGATCAGCTGCAGCAGCCTACATCTCTTCAGGCTGCACCACCAGTGCCACAAATAGCAAAGTCGCAGCCATCTCAAGGCTCTGAAGCAGCACAGCCTCATCAGAAGGACTCCCAGCAGTCGGCCCAGCAGCAGCAGTGGCAGGGAGCACAGCAGCCCAGGAAAGAGTACCCACAGCTCAAGTACCACAGTGCTCAAGACCTGGTGATTTCTACCAAGGAAGAGAACAAAGTCACAGAACCACCACCTAATCCCAAACTTGAGACCACTCACCCACCATTGTCTCCACACTGGAAGCCTCCCCTTCCTCCTGCCTCAGGTGAGGCTGAAGCAACTGGTCCAGTGGAAGCAAGTGATCTCCCCAAAATCCAAATTCCTCCTCCAGCGGATCCCGTCCCTGTGCACAAACCTCCACCATTGCCACATTGGCCTCCACTCCTACCACCTTCCAGGTGCGTGACTGTGATGTCTACCACCAGCTCGTACACATCAGGAGAGGGCTCCTGGGACCTTCAGTCCATGATGAAGCCCGAGGGACTCTCCTATGGTGCCCTGCCCCCAGCCTATGGCCCATCTGCTCACCTTCCCTACCACTCCCATGGCAACTCCCCCAACCCACCTCCACCTCTTGTCCCTACACCCCCAGCTTTCTTCTGCCCACCCACCATACCTCTCCCTACCCCAGGCTACCCTCCACATCCCCCTATCTACAATCCCAATTGCCCACCCCCACCTTCAATCCTGCCCCCCACTCGTGCAGTCCCTCCTCACCCTCCTCCAGGCTTGGCTTTGTCACCAGCCAGCTACCCACCTGCAGCTCTTCCCCCTGACTGGCAGCCTCCTGTCCCTCCCCTCATTCCCAGACCTGGCATGCCGCCTGTCAGGGGGCTAGGGTGGGCAGCCTGGAGGAGATAATGGGAAACCTTTTCCCTTTTTTGGTTTGTTTGTCTTAACCCTGGTATGAGATTACTACATATTCACCAACAATGTAAAAGACTGCACTTTGAAGATCATTAATTTCATGATTTTGAGAAGGCTGTCTGAGCATGGAGAGTTCTGGGAACCCTGGACAGGAGGCTCAGCATCCCCTGGTGAGCTTGCAGCAGTCACCTCAAAGTTCCTCTCATATCACCTCACCTGCCATTTGCAGCTGGTGTCTCTTCTCTTCTGGGAGGGCTAGAGGGAAAGGCGGTCACTTCAGTGTAAAAATAGAGAATGATGTTAAAATATTTTTAAAATCTATGAAAATAAATTCTCTTATATGCTAAGTCGTGGTGTCTTCAGGAGAAAACAGCAAAAAAAAAAAAAAAAAAAAAAAAAAAGTTTTC